CTAAAGGAATCAAGAATCCGACCACTCATGGAAAATGCCGACTCCGAAGCAATCGTGGATATTTGAATTGCTAATACATCTTTGGCAATTTGGGAGATAATTTTGTACTTGTGCCCATTTAATTTCCACTAAAGTAATATGTTAAAATTTGGATAGGTCAAATCATCACAACGATCAGACAAATAATCAACCAAATCATTCTTCCCGTATTGCATATTTTGCATAAGCTTAGCTTTAAAAATAGAAGGAATATGTTTAGGAAGACCTAAAGAGGTTGTGAATGACTTCAGTTACTACTTTTGGTGGTCTCTTTTGATGAAGCTGACAATGGAGTGACTGGAGTCGCCATTTCTTGATAGCATGTATACAATTTGTAGAGTGTCTCTTCAACTTTTTTTAACAATAGTTTTGCAATTTCTGCATCATAAGTAAGTTCAAACCCGACTTTAAGAAGTTCCAACTTGCATCTTGAGTCAAGAACTGTTGCAATGAACAATAACTGATTAAACTTTTCAACATTGCCCCAATACTTATCATATTTTTTTCTCCTACAAATTTCCATGGATCCCATCAAAGTGTTAGGTTCTTTAGCTAATTCATTCAACTCTCCATGAATTTCACATATTTCTTGAAAGAAAGAGTTAGAAGTTATATACTTCGAACCACTAAATTTTAAAGTCATTTCATAGAATGTCCTCAAGAACCTAACAAATACTTCTGCTTGATCCCGATCGACACGTGTCGGTGGTCCATTTATATATCTTCCATCAGATTTATCTTTATTAAAGTAGTTTGTATAGTTTCCATTGCTTTCCAAAACAATAAATGCTTTTTTAAACTTCAAAGCAGCTTGCAACATCAAATATGTGAAATTCCATCTAGTCGTGACATCCAAACTCAACAAAGCTCGAGACTCAATATTTGCTTTCTTGCAACTCTCTTTAAACCTTTTTAGTCGTTCTGACAAAGATCTAACAAACCTCACCGCATTACGAATAGTTGAAATAGCATAGTTTATTTCTTTCCAACCATCACAAATAATAAGATTGAGTATATGAGCACAACACCTCATATGAAGCATTTCTCCCCCTAGTACTATGCCATTCTTCTTCTCCTCAAAACAACTCTTCAATCTCAATAATGCTACATCATTGGATGAGGCATTATCAACAGTTATTTAAAAATCTTTTTGATTCCTCAATCTTTAAGACAAGAAATCAACTTATTTCCCACCATATCTCCCTTATGGCTTGGGACTTGAATGAAACTTATAATCCTTTTTTTGAAGTTTCCAATCATTATCAACCCAATGAGTGTTAAACACAAATAATCAACATTCTGTATTGACGTCCAACAATCAGTAGTCAAACAAACTCTATGATGACCCAACTCTTTCTTCAATTTCTTCTTCTCATTTAGGAACAAATTATATATATCCCTTGCCACTGTCATCCTTGAAGGAAATACAAATTTTGGGAAAAAATACCTTGTACAGTATTGAAAACCTTTATCTTCCACATGCCGAAAGGTAACTCTGACCGTATGAAGTACCTTGTAATATGTTCTCTAACCTCTTTCTGAACAAATTTGACAGGTTCTTCACGGTTATTAATACCCTTAGAAAGCTTACCAGTTTTATACATACTATAGCCAGTCTTTCTTTTTTGCTTTTTTTCTTGAACCCTATATGGATACTTCTTGCACAAGTACGTACGATGATCATTGGGGAAGACTTACAGGGTCTCCTCGTCCGTAACAGATCATTAGCATTAATTTTATCAAGAACTAAAGACCAAGTAAATTCTTATACCTTCACAGGGTTTTATATTTTCATATGAATGTCTTCAAAGGAAAAGAAGAATACATGTGAAAACAAGTTCAATTGGAGAAGCATGATTTATGGGGAAAATTATCCAATTTATCCAGAATCGGAGTCTACAGTCTCAGATAGAAACGAGATTATAGGACTAACAAATTTAGTAAACCTGCATGATCATTAGCCTCCTAATCATTGAGACTGTGGAGAAAGTCCAGTTGCAAGAACTGAAACTGTGGAGTGTAGACAAGCATTGGAAACAAGGATATGTGATGAATCCCAAGTATATACATCCTCCCAAAAATTCAACAGATTCATTTTTGAAATTCTTTTCCTGAAGAATTTGGACCCCCATATGCAGAACCCTGTTGTATATCTCTAAAAAATTCAAAATCTTGAGATCTCCTCGAAGGCACCGATGTTAAAATTCAAACCTTTATGTAAAATTGGCCTTGACCCATGGTTGGGCAAGGTGCACCAGGTGGAGAGGAGGCTAACCCATGTGGTCCACGATCGTGGGACGGCCGGACGGCGCCGAAATTTGCAAAACTCAGACCCTGTTGCGCAGACTTCGAGACTGTCATTCTTCTAGGAAGAAATCCGAACATTGCAGGGTTGGAGGTGATAGAAGGGAGTGAGAAAAGGTTGTTGTTGGTGGAATCCGGCGGTGAGGCGAGGTTGTTTCTGCTGATTCTTCCAATTGGTGGTGGAATGATGGGAGGTGATAGAGGGGAGTGAGGAGAGGTTGTTTGTGATTCTTCCAATTTTCAGTTTTGGCGGGGCCTTTTTCGCGTTTTCAACGTTTTCAAGTTTTTGGCTTGAAAACACTCAAAATGACCAAATGGTCGTTTTGAGTTTTATGTACAAATTTTTTTTTATTTTTTTCAAAAATGCGTTTTCAAAAATAAGGAAGAGAACGCGTTTTCAATATTTTGGAAAATCGAAAATAGAAAACGACTTGAAAATGGCAAAGAAAACGGCCCCTTAAGATCCCAAATGCAAATTTCCGTTTTTCGTTTCTAACTATAATAGAGACGCTTCTTCCTTCAAAAAAAAAAATTACGGAAGCCTCTCCTACGTGGGTATTTTTTTCAAGGGGTAAATCACATTTGATCTCCAATCTTCGGCCAATGCATCCAACCAATTTTTAACTTCAATCTTCCATAAATTAACAAAATTAGTCCCCTATGATTACTTTCGTCTATTTTTGTCTTGAATGGGTTAAAAAGACAATATTGTCCAAATTTTCAAAATGAACAAGAAGGATAAGTAATAAGTTCAAAAAAAAG